TGTATCCAAAAACTCTCTCAATCCCTACAAAACTATCTATGTAACATATACCCAAAAGTTATAGAGATCCCAAAAAGAAGTATATCTCTCCAAAATAATTCTCTATCACATAATTAGGTTAAGACACTATCTCTATTTATAAAGCAAAATATTTGATCGTCAAGAACTTTTAATCCATAAGAATTCTATAAGAATTATTGCCTAAACTAATTATTTGAGTCAAAATATAACATTATATAACTTAATATATAATCAAACTTATCTCCTAAAGTTGTGTTAAATCAACCTGCCACAAAGATCAAGACAAAAATCAAGGAACGGAAAGAGTACGATATTACATTATTTGATTGTTTATTTTCATTTATTATTTGATATATTAATGATAGGATTTTTCTCCATGAATATTGATTTCGGCAACACAGCGTCTTAGGTGGTGTTTGTTTTTACAGTGTGAGGTCTGCAAAGCTCTTATGTTTGCACCGCGCAAACCACGCGCAGACATTGGGCTTCGCAGACCGTTTGTTTTTTTAAAAGGCAAAAGCTCTTCTAACGTCTGCGCGAGGTCTTCTTGTGCATATATGGTTTTATGTCTTCAAAGGTCTTCAAACCTCTTCAAAGAAATTAAAATTTTTTAAATCTATTTTAAAATTTATTTTAAAATATGGATTGATTTATTTTAAAATATAGATTGATTTATTTTAAAATATAGAAAAATTTATTTTAAAATATGGATTGATTTATTTTAAAATATGAAAAATTTTATTTTAAATTATGGATTGATTTATTTTAAAATATGGATTGATTTATTTTAAAATATGGATTGATTTATTTTAAAATATGAAAAAATTTATTTTAAAATATGGATTGATTTATTTTAAAATATGGATTGATTTATTTTAAAACATGGATTGATTTATTTTAAAATATGGGAAAATTTATTTTAAAATATGGAAAAATTTATTTTAAAACATGGATTGATTTATTTTAAAATATGGAAAAATTTATTTTAAAATATGGATTGATTTATTTTAAAATATGAATTGATTTATTTTAAAATATGGATTGATTTATTTTAAAATATAGATTGATTTATTTTAAAATATGAAAAAAAATTATTTTAAAATATGGATTGATTTATTTTAAAATATGGATTGATTTATTTTTTAAAAAAATTATTATTGTAGTTGTATGAATTATTTAAATTTTAATATTATAAAACTAAAATTATTTAAATTTTAGTATTACAAAACTACTTTAAGTTTAAAAAATCAGTTTATTTATATTTAAATTTATTTTAGCAGTCTGTAGACGTTAAAAAATAAACAGTCTTCTTCTTACAGATTACAGACTTTTAATCTACCTCTTCTGCTACAGATACTTACAAATATGATCCGTAGACTACAGACCTTTTACATCTGTAAAAACAAACACCACCTTAGTACCTCATTGATTAGACAAAGTGGTTGATAACACAACTAGGCAAAGCTCATACTAAAGACAAAAGCATTAACTTTTCTATTATCTTCCACGTGAAAATTTTCCGGGAAATTACACAAAACATTAAAAAATAAATTGGAGGATCCCAAGAAAAATCCCAAATCCCCCCAACTAAGCCAACAACACCTCTTTTTCTTTACCTTTTTTGAACCATTTTTCAATTTCCCGGACTTCACTATTCTTGATTCCTACTCTATTTGTACAGCTTTTGTTAAAAGTTGAGTCACTGATATCAATCAAGGCCCTTCGATGTACCGTGTCATCTGACGGAAGAAGGATCAGAAATCAAGTAAGTGGTTTTAGTTTCCTTCGACTAGTCTAATTGCTTTCTGGTTTTTCGATGATTCGTAGTGTAATCCTTTTTTTTAATGATTTTATGATTCAAATAGGTTGTTGAAGATATCTGTTATATTTGGTTAAAGTTTTTCTTTGAAAATGAACTTCAAAATAGATGCTGATGAGAAAAATGGTAGTGGCGATTCTGATAATGGTCAGTTGTTGCGTGACATCGAGGAAATAAGCAAAGCCCTTTACTTGCATAAACCCTCGAAACCTTTGATTTCCACATCCGATTTTAGATCTAAATCTGTCAGGAGAAGAACCCGTCTTTTGGAATCTGATAAGGATAAGAAATCGTCGTCGTCGTGGGATTGGAAGAAGCCCTTGAAAGCATTAACTCATATTATGCAACATCGGTTTCATATTTGTTTCTTTCTCCATGTGCATTCTGTTGAAGGCTTGCCTGCCTGTTTAAATGACTTCAACTTATGTGTGCATTGGAAGAGGAAGGATGAGTTGCTGTCGACTTGTGCGGTGAGGATCTTGGATGGAATTGCTGAATTCGAAGAGACGTTGATGTGGAAATGTTTTGTGTATGGTAGTAGAAGCGGACCTCATAATTCGGCAAAGTATGAGAGCAAGCTTTTCCTAATCAGCGCCTCTGTCGTTGACATGCCGGGGCATGATATAGGACAGCATTGGATTGATCTCACGAGTCTGCTGCCACTTAGTTTGGATGATCTAGAAGGGGAGAAAGGATCTGGTAAATGGACTACAAGCTTTAACCTTTCTGGCAAGGCTAAGGGTGCTACTCTAAATGTCAGCTTCATGGTGATGAAGGAAAATTTAGTTGAATCAAGTGGCGGTATGAATGTGTCACATTTTGTAAATCTAACAGAGAAGGGGTCAAGCACCATGGGAGAGATCGGGGTTCTTTGTGCAACCAAAGGGAATGAGATGCTTCAGCATTGTGGAACTGTTCCAAGTAATGTAAACCGCAGGTCTCTGTCCGTTGATGTAAAGTTCGGTACTGAAGTGTTGCCAAATTTGGGACTGGAACTTTGCAAATCGATAAGCATTTTATATCAGAAATTTAATGAAGAGAGCTTAGATGGTTCGTCGGGATTAGATAAGTTATCTGAACATGTGGAGCCACTTAAACCTGATTCCAAGTCTGCTAAAGTTATAGATGAGTACGAAAAGAACGAGTTTTTTGTTATTGAACAGGGTGTAGAAATGTGTCTGAAAGATCCGACTACGATTGAACAAAGTGGTATTCAGACTATTGATGGCTCTTCCATTGAAACCATCAACGTGGATGAGATCCTTAAAGATTGTGACACAGAAATTGACGAGGAGGCAGATCCAGTTTCAAAAATGTCCTGCTCCGGTCACACGGAGGAGGCTGTGGTAGATGACCTCATACAAGGAAAGAGTAATACATATTCCTCAGCTTTCAATGACAAATTGGTTACAGAATCATTAATATTAGAATCTCCATCTACTTTGGATGAGTTTATTGAGCATGAAAAGTTTATGGAGGCTGAATCACATTACAAGGCTAGCAAATTAACAAAAAAATTGCCAAGTTTGGATGACCTTGCTGACACTGTGGCTAGTGATTTCTTAAAGATGCTGGAAATTGAACATGATCCATTTAGCTTCAACTCTGATGGTGCTCTTGAATCTCCTAGGGAGCGTCTGTTGAGAGAGTTTGAAAACGAAGCCCTGGCTTCTGGTGGCTTCATCCTAGATTTTGTTGCAGCAGGAGAAGAGTTCAACTCCCCCATTCCTGTTCCTTGCTGTGGGGATAGTTACGAAGATTTTGCTTTCCCTTCTGTAATGCCTGGCAAAGAACAGAAGATGGAAAGATTATCACTGAAAGGCCGAAGGGCTGTCAAAGCGGTTGAAGACTTGGATACTGAAGCTTTGCATAAGGGGAGCTTAGTTGACAAGGTGTTCCAAAGTCCTCATGTTCGAAGTGATGGATTTGGAAGTCCGATTATGCTTTCCCCAGAATGAGGTCAATTGATGCCAACAGAAGTGGATTCTAGCATTTCATTCCAGGGAAAGGATGGACTTGTTTTGTGAGCTATGAATTCCACGCTTTTCAGAAATTTTTAAAATGTTGGCCACATGGGATCATTCAAGTATCCTGAGCAGATGTATTTTCTGCAAGATCGGGTAACTGATATTACGGAGACTGCTAAAGTTTGTTTCACTTGGAACGGAGAACCTGTCCTTGCAGGTAAATAAATAGCTTAATGTATTTGAACGATATTGCTGGGAAATCATTGCAACAGATTGAACTAGAAGCTGCACCCAGGGTTGTCATGTTGGAGTGGTGTGCAATCATGTCGGTTGGATGAATTTATGCATTGATCTTGTTTTTTCAGAGCTGATTCAGGCTGGATTTCAGAGATGATCATATATATGCTAATAAGTTAATGAACTTTTCTATAATATTGGGATGGGTGCTTATTGTTCGATGCTGGAGTATCAACGAAACAGCTGCTAGAAAGCATGGGTTGCTGGGGAACAACTTTTTAATAGCGGTCATGGTGTTGCATAGAGATCCCCCTTGGGCACTACGATCCTTTTGGCTCTTTAATGATTGCTTAAATTCAGGTGGAGAGAGCTTTCGGCTATCTATAGCATAATGCTGGGAGAGTGAAGAAAATGCTGAATCATGGGAAGCATATGAAAAAGGAGAATGTACTCCAGTTTTCAAAATCCTTGAGGTCCATGTTGCCGGGTTAAATGCTGAAGCCCTATAATCTGGGGGGAAACCGCAGCGACAGTCTGGGACACATTTGTTACTGGCTGCTGGCACAGCCAACTCTAGTACAGGAAAACAATGTCAAAGTCAAAGGCCATTGTATGAGTGCCAATCGGTATCTAGAAAGGTGCCGGCTGCAAATGTGCTGTGAAGTCTATCCTATAATGTTCTTGAAGCAGGAACTAGTTGGAAAGAATTGGCAGATTCAAGTCCACGTTCTTGAAACCCTGATGTCATCTTCGAAATTAAGGTGTCAAAGTTCATTTTAGATTGCAGCATTTGACTACTTATTAACACGTCTTTATTTAATTACTTTTTTGCATCATTTTTACTATTCCTGCATATAGACAACTTATGTTGGAAAAGATTGTACAGTCCAATAGGAATTATGAATTTATGATCATTTCATGTCCATTTGATCTCTGTACCTTCTACTCTCTTGCCATGTTTTATTCCTGCCGCAGTTGTATGCTCACCATCCTAGTAAAGGATTTAGATTTCCTAATGATAATACATGACTCGAGTATGCAGTTGATGTGATCGTCGACGCAGGTTGATATTGGCCTTATGCAGGACTTCGCTGTGAGGGTATTAGTGATCGAAAAGAACTCGAAGCCGACAAGAAAACCACCGACTCAATAGATGCTCGGGTGATTATGAATCCCCTCATAAGTTGTAATCACATAACTCGAATCCTCTTTATCTCTTTCAACTCTTTTCTTCACGGAGCATCCTTCATACAAACATCTGTAGTAGTTCCTGTTCATCAGATACGAAGAAATCGATGAAGGTACTCCGAAAACGAACACAAAACAGGTACTCATTTAGCTTAGTTTAATGATTGAAAACAAAACATGCATAATATTTATGTAAATATACCTTGGATTTGGGCTGTTCTTCACCATCTTCTTCCCATACTTTCTCCATCTGTACCCATCATCCAGTATATCAACCTCGGACTTCGTCTTGAATGCATATCGTTCTTTGGATTCGGTAGTTTCAGTTTCTCCTGTTGAACACAATCAACAACAAAGAATCATAATACCCAGTAATGTTAGGTGGAGCTTTAGATGATTGTAATGAAAGACCTTTTTCTTACCACTATCATACGATTCTCGAGTAAGTAGGCTACTGTTGCCGGCAAAACCATCAAGTACTTCAATGGCTTGATGAAAATTGTTCTCAATAGGCCATGGGGTCGAAGTTCCGGTATAATCGTCCTGCAACCAGCCGTCAAAAGTGAAGTAAGCATCAGGAAACTCGAACTTGGATCGATCGGAACAGTCACTTTGAAGCGAGTGTTGCACTCTGAAACTGTTATTAGACATTTTGTAACGAAACCGAAGGATGTTCCGATAATGGCTGCGTGCATGTATTAATAAGCAGAGGTGGTTTTCCCATGTGCTTCAAGTGACATTGAAGGAAGGTTCAACGTAAATGCCGAAAGGTCAAAATGAAAATGATGATTTTGGGTCCCAGATACATTCCACTAAGAAGTTTAAAGGAACTGGGATTTCTCAAAGGATGAAGACCAAGACTTTCATTATTTTTTAACGTGACAAAAAAAGATCTGATATGATAAGATTATATATTTCTTAAAAATTAGATTTAGCTGAAACCCATTTTGTCTTAATATATTAACTAAAATATTTATTTTAAAATTTTAATTATTTATAACTTTATTAAAATCATTTTAATTATTCTTATATTCACTAAATTACTATTTTCTATATTTCATTTTTCGCTTTTAAATAATATACTTTGTGTCGACACCGTTTTTGTAGCCACCGAGTATTTGTGTGGGGTTGGCACTGCGTAATCACTGGAGAAAACAAAGTTCTTATATGCACAACCCTTTTGAAGGTTGGACTTGGGAATGCAAATGTATATGGACTTGAAAACTTACTCTTTTCACCTTCCTTTTGTTGAAGATAACTCCCCAAACAAGCATTTGTAGAAGAAAGTTTAAGAGTTGCAGCTCCCCTGGTTTTAAAGTAGGAAGGAGAGGAGAGAAAAGAATAATGGAGAGGAAGATAAACTTTTTTTCTTTAATTTTTCCTTAAACGTCGATCAAAATCTTTGGAAAGCCAAATGTGTGAAAAAATAGTGTCACGTCTGGTTTAACGTGTCATATCAGCATTTCATTATCTTCAGTAAAGGTTATTAACATCGAGTGATTAATTTGTTATAAATCAATCATGTTAGTGGCCAATTTGTTACTTTTGAAATTTTAGTAGGAAAAACAAAAATACTCAAACATTAGTGATCACTTGTGTAGTTTACCCAAATTTTAATTCATTTTAACAAAAATAGTAAATCTTTAAATAATTTCATACTAACCGTATTTTTCTAATTTTCTTCGCGTCTATATTATTTCCCTAAAAAACCCATTAAAGATATCGTTATCAAACTTACGAATATTCAAATTTATATTTTTGGATAAACTTATTTTATTCACCCAAATACAAATAAAATTAGAACCCCACACAACAACTGCTTCAAGAAAAGACCCACAATCAGATGAAAATAACCAAAAAGATAACAAAGTTGGAACTTTAAGCCTCATTCAATGAGTAAAGAAGAAATTGAGAACCCTGACGTCTTACCATGCTGCCTATCACCTGTCTTAATTTAAATCCCTACATGTAAATCAACTAACTTAAGCAAATAAGGTTATTTTTGTTTATTTATTTTTGAAAGTGATCATATTTATTTAATTTTTTACTATTGTATTCATGTTTGTTTATTTATTTTTGAAGTTATTCATATTCATTTATTTAACATTCACGGATGTGTTTATTTAATGTTCATAAATATTCGTTTATCATTCATGATTATGTCCGTTTAACGTTCACGAACATATCCGGTTTTATTTTGTGTTATAATAGGAAAAATGACAAAACTACACAATTAATGCTTAAACTTCTTAGAATTCATATTTTAAACTTTAAATTTCATCATATATTCAAATTAATATGTACATTCACTAATATTCAAAATATAAAAATTAAACATGCTTCTAACTGAACTTCTAAATGAATTTATGACGAATATATACGAACCGTACACATCTATTTTATGTTCGCTCATTTAATAATAATATTCATACTCTTTTATTTAATTTAATAAAATAACATTATAAAAATAATTTACGAATATTCTATTCATTTACTTACTTAATAGTAACTCGTAAAGACTTTTCCTTCCCAAACTTATACAACCAATCAATCAAAATCATCCAACAATTGTGAGTAGAGGAACACCCTGTCATATTTGCTTAGAGCACTCTACAAACAAATAATCACGCGTCTCCAAAACATCAACGTATCATTATCATGTATTCATTATTCTCCATTTGTTTGTATATTTTAATTGTATAAAATATATTTAGAATAAGTTAATTAAATCTACAACTAATAATCAACCGGTAAAAATAAGATGATACACTAGGAGAACACATAACACATTTGATAGAATATGTTTATTCTGATCACAAACTCTTAACCCAAGCATCAAGGGCGATTATTTAAACCAAGAAGAAACCTCACCCTGTCAACATATCCTGACCTCAATGGTCTTGGGTTTCTTAGGCTCCGGCGGCGGCAATTTCTCAACGGTGACCGTCAAAACCCCATCTTGACATACTGCCGAGATGGCATCGGTGTTAGCATTATCCGGCAACACGAACTTCCTCATAAATTTGCCGACCCTCCTCTCCATTCTCACGTACTTGGCCCCTTCCTTCTCTTTCTCTCGCTTCCTTTCGCCGCTGATCAACAGCACGTTGTCGGCCTCCACCTGTACTTTGATATCCCCCGATTTCAGCCCCGGCATGTCGACGACGAAGACGTAAGACTTGGGGTCTTCCCTGATATCTGCCGGAGTCGCCGCCATGGCCTTGGCATCTCGGATGTAAACACGAGATGCGGCGTTTGGGTTCTTGTTGGTGTCGTCTTCGTGGAGATCCATCATGTGGTTGAGGGTGTAGAGGAGTGGGTAGTCGTAACCTATTATTCTGAAATCCATTTTCCTCTTCCTTTTGGACGACGATGATGATGATGATGGATTTATGCTTTTTGCTTACCAAGATTCGATTTCCGCAGAAATTTAAGAGGACGGGGTTCCTGTATTTAAATGGAAGCCATGGGAGTTTTCCTAGTGGAAATGTCGAGAGCTTTCGAGAAGATTTTCCTACATTCTGGAAGAGTCTTGAGAGTTCCCAGAATGTGTTGGAAGGTCAAGAATGTACGACCATGGCAAATTATATGTCGTTACTTTAGTTTTGAAGTTATATGTCGTTGCAAAAATTTTGGTGGATGCGTTCATGAATGTACGACCATTCAAGTTGATTGTGTGAAAGGACACCCAGATAAAAAATATCAAAGTAAAAGAGAGGAAAGAGTTGTTCTTCCCTCCGATTCACGAATAACATCATCCTCTTTAGCAAATTGGCCATGGCAGTTTAGACCACCCTGGGTATTTAGAAGCAAGCTGGAAGCCTTCTAGTCGTTTCTCATTCTCTCTGTTCCTTAAATCCTTTCTCATTCTACAGATCCAACCGTGACAGCATTGTTAAGGGCGAGCCAAGTCGTTGGTTTTTTTTTAATGCAAGCGGTCAAATCATTCGAGACATGTTATGACAAATCAATTTAATTAGTTATTGTCGATAAAAATCATAATGATTTCTTCGAGAATTGAAATATGTGTTCTCACTGTAGTTAAATGCATTCGCGAGCAGGCGTACGTATTTAGATTTATTGCTAGTCATTGATCGACTAAGGAAAGCTAATTTGGTGAGATAAACATATAATTCATTGTACTAACATTCAACAGATCTAATAGTACTAACAACTTATATTCAATTATCTTTATTTTACAGTTCACTATACCGACAATCTTGATGCTTCGAAGAACATTTCCTCAGTGTCACCATGAGTATGTGTAGGCAGTAAATGAAAATATTTAGATATGAATGCTCATATCCCAATATTTAGATATGAATGTTCATATCTTTATTTTTATTTTTATTTATTTCATAGTTTAACTCGATAACCTAATATTTATAGGTAGTAAATGAAAATATGAACATTTCCTCAGTGTCACCATGAGTATGTATCCTTGAAAGGTTAAGTCGTCGTATCCATATCCGAATATATATATCGGGCACGAATATTCGAACAGAGTATTTAAAAAATAAAAAATGGAAACAACATGACAGTACATCACAACTTTGCCAAGGGAAATGGCACGTATGATGTACCTATGCAGATATCCCCAATCGCACACACTAATCCCTTTTCTTTTGTATACATTTTCACCAGCAAAATGCAGGAGGATACGTGAGTTTTATGAATATGCTCACTTCCTGGGTGTTCACATCAGCAGCAGTCGTAATCAAAAGCTAGAAATCCGAATGATATAAACAAACTAGACTTGAACGAGTTATGGGTGTACGGCATAGCGGGCATTCGAGCTTTTCGTTGCACCATTCAATGATGCAGTTCCTACAGACAGGTCATGATATATTAATGAATTTTTGCAGTTTCCCCCCCAAAAAATAGAAGCCATGTCTAGGATTAGTTCCGCAAAAGGGGAAAAAAGGAAAGATACCAGCAGAATACGTGACTGCACGGTGTAGCTGTCGGTTGTCGATTACTTAGCCACAAGGTGCATTTGCTAACAACAGCTGTTGGCTGAATTTGCACAAGCAGTAGCTTAGTTATATAAGCAGAAAGGTGATGAGAATGTGTTTATCAATGATACAGTCCTTTTATGATGAGACTAATGCTCCATAATGGTTTGAAACATTTGATCAATTGTATCTGCCATTGACTAGTAACACAAACACGTAGTACTTAAGGTCTGTTACCTAGCACTTTCCGATGACGAATATTGAAATAAGAAAATAGTAGTGGAAGACGATGAAAACAAAATACATAAACAGAATACTAAGATATACTTGAAAACTTACCTCTGAAGTTGATTCACCGACCCATGTACCTCGGTCAGCCTCCATTGATATCAAGTTGCCTTCTTCGTTTAAAACAGGCAAACCTTGTCCTACAGGCTCAAACAACAATGTGTCAAACAATACATGCCAATCTCTCGTGGCACAACTGTATGAAATGAAGAAAAAGAAATTACTTGAAACATATTTCCCAGCGAACAGAGTATGTTTACTATCAGCTATCTGGAGAGGTTCACTAAGACAACCTAGATCCTTCATTTCAGATGATTGGGAATTTGGGATGGACGTTTTGTACAATTAAGTTGATATTCATTCTAGCAACAATCAAAAAGATTCAATTTATAGGCAAGAAAGGTTAGGTTACATTTGACAATTGGTAATTGGGCATAAATAAGGTTTTCATTTCGAAAGGTGCTAGTTTACGTAAGCAATATAAGGAAACTTGTCGCGGATTAACCTGATGGGTTTTGGCGGAACCCCAATGAGGTCTGATGAATTGAGCTTGTAATTGAAGATAAGTTGCTGTGTCGCAGACCTTCAGCTGCAACGATGCATATCTGAAGTAAGAGGAAAATCCCCAGGATTTGGTACCTGCAGTTAGAGGCAGCCAAAATGTTACGGTCAGTACACTCCAAATTTCCCACATGATGATGAGTTCCACACATTTAATAAGAGATGGCGCATCAAAGCAAACAAGATTTGTAGAAGCAAGTAGCGAACCATGTACCTGGGTCTTTGATTTGATGGCTTCCCTATGAACACGTAGCGAATGCCAGACGCACGTTTGGATATATGATAATAGAGACCTGCCAAGTTTTGTAAGGGAAATTAACAATATTAAGATGAGTAAAGTTCCACTTCAAAAAATCATTAACAACTCTAGATGAGTAAGTTCTACATACCTTCAAAGTAGAAGAACACAAGGTTAGCACGTAGAACCCATTGCAAGAATTCACGAGCTATAGGCAGCATCTGTATGCAACAGCACTGAAATACATCATTCCAAAGTACTACAGCAACAATGAAAAATGAAAACCCCTAAAAGAATTAAGTCCAAAACATAGTATAAAATAGCGGTTGCGGCATCCGTAGCGGTTGCGGTGTCGCGGTTGCGGATGCTGCGGAAGTTACGTAACGTGTTACAACTCTTGCGGGCGTGATTTTTTAATGTGTTACGGCTGTCGCGGGAGGTTGCGTTACGTTAATATTACGTCGCGGTGACCTTCAAAACCATTACGATACGACCGTTACACTGTGTTGTGGCCGCAATTTAATACCATGGTCCAAAAACAAAATAAAAAACGCGGTTTGCATACAGGTGGCCATCTCTGAACTGCGTGCAACCACTTTCCATGCAATTTTCTTTCAACCTCGACAGTGCAGAAACCAATGCAGTAGATTCCGAGGGTAACACAATCTCAGTCCCCGTGGACGACTCGACTTCTTTCAGAACCAATGTTACTGTAGAACTCATTATCAGAGCAGGCTTTTGGGGAGCCTGAGCAATTGCTCAGAGGCCCCCTTTAGATTCAGCTTTTAGTTTCCTATTAGAAAAAAGAATAGTTTTTAGTTTCTCAAATACGAAAATAATATATAATAGGACCCACTTTTAAATTTTCACTCAAAACTAAACCGTAATATATATATATATAATATATAAAATATAAATTTATAACATTTAATTAGTTATGGGGCTCACTTTAAACTTTCATTGTAAAAGTAAATGGTAATATATATAATATTAATTCACAATATTTAATTAGTCATGAGGGCCACTTTTAATTTTAACAGCTAAATTATTTATTTCATATATATTTCTATTTCCCAAATCCCATCAATTTTACATAAACATAACGGAAAAATAATATTTTCAATTTCCCATTATTAAACTCCTTTTCTTTTTTTATTAAATTTCAAATCAAATACAATTATATATATCCCTATTTTTCAAATCACATTCTTCACTTTATTAAAAAAAATTACCTCTTCTTCTCAAATATCAATCCATTCTTCAATTTATTTAAAATTCTTTAATTTTTTTCTTCAATTTATTAAATATTCTTTAAGTATTCTTTTTCATACCATACCCACGATTCAATTCATTCAAATTCAAGAAGAAAAAGAACATTGAATTTTTTAAGCTTTTGGATTTTTTAATTTTCGGAAAACAAGGTCTCAAGGATTGGGAAGAAAATTCAATTTCCGAAATTATTCGACTCAAAAATCAGGTTGTGTTGCTCATACTCTTGCCTATTAATTATTCAATTATTCTTGAAAACTTATGTTTTGCATGTTACAACTACTAGCCTAGCCGTTTAGGATATATGTGTGGTGATTGTGTTTGTATGCTTAATTATTTTTTATTTCATTTTTTATTTTTTACCTACGATTTCTAATTATATAATTATGCTTCATAAAAGAAAGTATAACTCTGGATGATTTGTTATATGTTGTCAATTTGGTTAGTAAAAAATTACAATTGAGAGATATGCTTTATTTATGCTGCCATTGAAAATGTGAAAAAATTAATTTTATTTTTTAAGGAGTATAGAGAGAATGATCTTTCTAATGCTCTTGAAGTTGTTAAAGAACTTGCAATTGACATGAAATTGATCCATTTTCCCTCAAAAGCATCAAATCAAAAGAAAAATATAGTTTGATGAGAATTTAAATGACGAGAGTCCACAATGTGTTGAAAAGTCTTTTAGAATTAATTATTTTAATTGCATCATTGATCAAGTAATTATTTCACTTGATAGGAGGTTTGAACAATGGGCAATGGGCAAAAACCAACGGTTCTTACCTACTCGTATCATTAATCAAGTAGCAGCCATCAAAGGTTCTAGCCCGTCGCTAACGAAAGACTCAGTTGGCTGAAAAGGGCGTGACGACTTGAAATTCTAAGTCAAAACGACATACGAGATTCGATGTGGACCGACTGTTTACCAAAACGAGAAGCTATGGAAAACTATCCACAAACCTCGAGGGATACAAAGGGTGAAAATCTTATATGGCTATTGTGCTCAAATAGGATCATAGCGAACGCTGAACGAATGCGTAGACACATTTCCTTGGACGATAGATGTCCAATATGCGCAGCATCACCTGAAGACGTGGATCACGTCTTTAGACGATGACCCTCAGTTATTGGAATCTGGTCAACTCTAATCATGGCAGAGAAGATCGATGGCTTCTTAACAATGTAAATCAAGGACTGGATCCAACTAAACCTATCCGAACCAAGCAAGCTGGGAATCGCAAACAAAGAATGGAATCTACTATTCGACTCAATCCTTTGGAATATTTGGCTTATAAGGAATGCGATAGCGTTTAACTCTCCCGTGAAGGACAACGGCAGCGTCCTAGAGAGGAGCATGAGACTCTAGGAAACATGTTCTAGAGCAATTAACGCTAATCAAACTGCCCACGACCAAGCAACGAGACAAAGAAAAGCCAACAACCAGCAAACAAACGTGCTATGGACGAAACCACTGGTAGGCTGCTTTAAAGCTAATACAGACGCGAGCCGCAACCCAAGTAATGGAAACACCTGTGGAGGTATCATCAGAGACCACACCGGTAAATGAATAGCGGGTTTTCATAAATTCATCGGAGTTTGTTCGGTACTTGAAGTTGAACTATGAGGGTTTACACAGAAATGCCCATCACCTGGAATAGAGGAATTAATCAACTAGAAGTGGAAACAGACAACCTGGATGCTATCAAGCTACTAAACAGTACTGCACACAATGGCACTCTAAATATTTTGTTACATATATAAGACTTAACAAGAAGATACTGGATCACCCGATTCCAACATGTTCCCAGGAAAGGCAACTAGGTAACTGATGCCTTAGCCAAGCTCACGCCAAACAAAGCTTCGACGTTCAACTACTCCTGGAACCTCCACCCATGGTGGAAGCACTGATTCAAAAGGAAGAAACTAATTTGGACTTTTGGGCTCTGATCTTGTGCGACCTTTTTCATTTTGTTCTAACAAGTTCAATAACTAGTGATTGTATTTAAATCAAAGTCAATAGCTTTTCACAAATGATATAGATTCTTTATATTCTTCTGAAAAAATCAACGTATTTTTCAACAAAAACAAATGGTTACTATTTAAGAAAAGTGTACCAATTAAATGATAACACATATTAGTATCTGATTGAACAAATAACAAAATTAAAATTTTGGAGAAGTTGAAGGTTAAATTTATGTAATTAAGGTTTCATTTGTTTAAATTCAATTGGTTTGCAAATATATTTTTACTGATGTTAACTGCATGTGGCATAATAATCCATGAATGGATGATCTAAGGACTAAAATAAAATTTTTTAAAGAATAAATATCATATATAACATTTATTCAAAGTATATGTGTCATTTGCGACACTGTTCCAAAAATAAATAAGGGATAAGAGCAAAGCTTTTCATATTATAAAAGAAAGGGATAGCAGTACGAAATCTTTTAGACGTCCTTGCAAATTGTCTATGTTATTATTTCAATTTTAGTAGTCCTATATAATTTTTTTATGAAACGTAATATCCAACATCTATTACAACCTGTGATAAATTTTAGTAGCCGTATCTTCTGAAAATTTAAAATTATAATATATTTTAGATTCATATATATATTATTAAATTTTTTTTATTCTTCTAAAATTTTAAAAATTCACCCGTAAACATAAAATTATATGCCTGTCCCTAATTGCACGATAAAATTAGTAAGTTGCGAAAAGGATTTTCAGTAAGTAAACGTTAATTCTTGAAGCAATTTATAGGGTTGGCAATAAGAATATATTGGACCAAGGTGAGGGACACAATTAGGACTTCACATTTTAGGGGCTAAGTTGTCTAGCTCTAAAATTGATAATTTCTTCATTTATATAAACCAAATAATAGGTCTACTTGAGGTTGAGGCTACTAGTAATTGATTGGAAGTTTTTAGTGTAAATTACATTTTGGGTCACTAAACTATGACTAAATGTATTTTTGCTATTAAATTTTAAAAATTACAAAATAGTCTTTAAATATCAAAATGTTACAAAGTAATCATTACGAAATTATAAAAAATTTAAATATTTGATAAGTTTAATGATCCTTTTTTAATGATTATTGTTTGATGAATTTATCGGTTAGTTTGTAACTTTGAAAAGTATAATGACGAAAACAATCATTTAAACATAGTGAAGGAGAAGACTTTTTGTTTTAAAAGGACCAAACACCAAAAACAGAAACTCATAAGCGAGGTGAATCACTACAATTCTCTTCAAACGAACCGAAGTAGGCAAAATCCTTTTCTTCCTTCTCGGAATGGTTGGGTTTCTCTTTCGCCAATTTTTGCAACATCGATCCCGAATCATACTGGTAAGCTTCCCTCTCTTCCTCTAGTTTTTTTTAATATTTCCTTTAATCTGAGACCACTTAATGAGTTTTTTACTTATCGGTTTTGATTTTTGGAAACAGGGACGTTTGCTTAGAGATCTGAGAGTTAGAATGGCCGGGAGGCGACGGCGTAATAGGCGTGTGTTGGAATCATTAGAAGCATGGGAAGCTGCTGCGGTGGTGATGGAGGAGCGAAATCGAAATATTAGGGAGGAGTTGAGGCGACAGTTTGCACTCAATTCCCTTGCTAATCTGTTGGTCCACGATCGTCTCGTTGAGGTGGAAAATGACCCCTTGATGAGGGACGCTTTCCGAAGAACTAACGGTCAGGATCTCAATCTACAGGAAATTTTCTGTATCAACCCACCTCAACCTTTCCTGGGACATCGACGGCGCCGCCGATGATCGCCGTTGGTAGCTGTGACTTGTGATCGTTGGGTAATCTAGGTGGTGGGCCAAGGTTTTAACTATTAGCTTCTAAATTTGTTTTTTTTTTTTACATTTAAATCTTTTAACTTATATTTTTTTCTTATCTATTTTTTTGTCCTCTTGATAATATAACATTGATGACATTGTGTCATGAGTGCCATATTATTAAGAGGACTGAAAATGGGTCAAAATATAAGTTTAAAGATTAATATAAATAAAAAAATTGAAATATAAGGTGCCATATTATTAAATATTTTATTTTAAAATTTTTGCATCTCGTTCTTACCTTTGTAATGAAATATAAGGTGCCGATGAGTCCTTTGTAATGAAATAGTACCTAAATTTAAGTTTAGTTTGATATGTGTTAATGAGAAAATGATAATCTTTATATGTAAATGACATGGAAAAAAATTGATGTGAAACTTTTAATTTGGTAGGTACGTTGATGATATGGTAGAAATGATCCATGAAATAAAGATTAATATTCCAAGATTGATCCATGAAAAAAATTAATTGGGCTTGATTTCCAAATAAATGGGCCCAAATCTTACATAATCAATCAAATTACTAACATTAATTGATCAATTTAGAACTCAAGTTGAAACTCTAATGGACTCAAAATTTGGGTCGTTAAATCATATATTAAAAGAAATGATGTAATACATGTTGGCTCTTCTAATACACTTGTTATTCAAGTTGATTGAGAAACTTGATTATGAATGTAATTACTTTGGAAGATCTTATAACCAGGAGTTGATTGAGAAAATTTGTTATTTTTCTTCTAGTAATAAAAAAATTCATAGAAAATTTTTATTGCTTTGGATTCCGAATACAAATATTTATCTATAAAATCTATTTTATTAAAATTTTAACATAGAAAAAATAAATTGTATGAAACAACCCGGAAGGTGGGTTGAATTAGGTTATGAAAAATAAAATGTGTAAAATATTATGAATTATTATATACCTTGAAGTAAGCTTTCAAATAGTAAAAATGGTAAATTCGATCAAGTGTTAATGACTATTTAAATTGATATATGAAATTGATTAATGAGATATGTGTGATTATTTGTATACATGTGTCAAAATGTTTGTCTTCAACAATTGTTATGTAAAATAAACAGATTTGGGAGTATTAATTCAAATTTGATATGAAAGACACGAGGGAAGTAAATGTTACATTAGAGTTAAAATCATACGGAAATATAGTTCAAGACATTATGTTAATAATTTTTTTTTAGAAAAAAATGAATATTTTGACACTAAATATGTGAGTGCTTGAGGGATAGGTGGGTCCGACCTCGACCCGAAAATCTATCGCTTATACCCCTATCCCACACTCAAACCAATCACGATTTTTAAATTAAAACCCGATCTCGACCCGACCAGACCCGAATATATTAATATTTTAAAACAATTAAATTAATATATTTTATAATAATATATTTATAACCATTTATTATTTTTAAATTATTAAAATAATATATTTTATAATAATTAAATAATATATTTTAACATTATAAAAATAAAAAATATTTAAAATCTTATATATATATATATATACCGGGTTGGGTCGGATCGGTGATTTTTCACCTTAAACCCGACCCCGGCCCACCTCGAACTTACCTATTATAAAACATGTCCCGCTCTAAACCCCGAAATTTCCAACAATAATAAAAATCCACCCTTTAGGGTTAGGTCAGAACCCGTCAAGTTTGGATATTTTTACGATCCCTAGAGTGCTCTTTATGATTTTAACACCCATGTAAGATAAAATAATGTGATCATGTTGTTTAATCCAAGTATGCACAAATTATTAAGAGTTTGATGCACTTGATGAATTTTACAAGACCTAAGACAACATAAATTGTTTGTCGATTGAGCGAGCATACACATAACCTTGATCATAAGTATTGTGTTGATGTAGTAAAGTTAATGATATATCTAAAAATAATAATGATTTATGATATTCTGATTTGTGGGTTTCCCGTTGCATTAAAAGGATACAATGATATTAATTGGATGTCTGATCCAGAAGATAGCAAATCCACTAGTTAATTGGATACAATAATTTATAATATTCTAAAGTAAAGATAAGAGAGAATTATTTATCATTAATTTTTTTTTTGAAATATGTGAGATATTGTTATAAAAAATTAAGATGATGAGCTCGCTTGCACAAGAACTAAGTACAACCTTTTCACGATACTTTCGTTTTACTTTTGATCGTGTCAAAAAAATAGTAAATGATATAACTGATGATTTTAAATTGAGAACCTCTTTTCTTTTTCTCCTACTTATTCTCTCCACCCTCTTGAGTTTGCCGAGTATTCCACTGAGAACCTGAATCCAAAATGATACACATATAAGGTGCAATATTACAAAATTGAAGAGTCGTTTGTACTACGAGTAAGCATTCGATCGAATCGAGTTAATAAATTTTGAGTTATTTGAGTTGATGAGTCATATTTTATTACTCAAAATTAACTTGAAATTTTTCCGAGTCAAGTTGTTCGAGTTTCTATATAAATTTAATTATAATTATTTATGGTATTATAATACGAACTTGTTTCAATTTTTCAACTTTCTCTAAAAATATAAGATATATATATATATATATATATATATATATATATATATATTACATTCTTTCCACAACATAATGTTATTTAATATATCACATACAATCTAAAATTATAAAATATATTAATAATATTATATTTTAAATAAGGTTTTTGAGGATAAAAGATTGATAGGAATACAAAGGAGTCAAAGAATTGATGTGAAGAAAGAATTTGTAAACAGTTGTAGTCAAAACACTAAATTGAGTAAAAAAATAAAGTTAAAGGACTAAATTAAAAGAGAGAGAGTACATTTTTAGTTAAAAAAGAATTTAAGTTAAATAGGCGTTCTATAGTGGTAGGGGAGCATATGGTTTAAATTTGATAAAAAAAGTACTTAAGATGAAAGATAAATTAAAGAAATACTGAAATGATGCAAAATCGAGAGACTAAATTGAAAAGTGTAATTGAAATTGCATATCTATTATATGATGATTTAGGAGTATGTGGTTTAGATTTAGTAAAAAAATATATTTAAAATAGAGGAGGAATTTAGGGAATAGGAAATTAAGGACTAAATCACAAATATGTCAATACATTGATCCAAATTTTTGATTTTTCAAGTTACTTGAAATTTTAAAATTTCAACTCGACTCGAACTCGAAAATCGAATTAATAATTCGAGCTTACTCGAATAACTTAAAATTGAAAAAAATTCGAGTTGAGTCGAGATTTTCTCACCTCTAATTTGTAAGAGCATAAGTTGTTTTATTTTTATTTCAGATTTTATAATTTTTTAATAAAAAATTATAGTTCTTCTAAATGCATAACCAAGAGTAAGAATTTAACATGTGTTTATATGAACCGTTTTTCAAATTTATTTATACAGCTAAAGCAAATAATAAAATACAATAGTCTTTGATAATCATGTGTCATGACAATCTTTTTGCGTGACAAATCATAAGCGCTTTTTCTCAGAAGAAAAGTGTAAACATATAGTTTGCCTTGTGTTTACTATGACAGACGTGTCAAAAGTATACTCGTGGAGTGTTTGATTATTACGTCAGATGACACTACATTGGAGAATTCTAAATGCTAGTATCTAGAAACTCTACATTGTTGTCCGTCGTCAACCTGGCCTTTTAACTTTTAATTCTATATACAATTAAATATCTAATTCTATCGTTATTGGAGTAATCAACTAGTCATTCATATCAGTATGTACAATTATTTAAAGGGTAAATTACACGTTTAATCACTGAACATTATTCTTTCTCTTATTTTACTCACCGTACTTTTAATTTTTTCCAAAAGCGAGATTTGATGGATCTCGCTTTTTCCAGGATGCTAGACACACATTGGAAAGGCGCAATATTTTAAATCAAATAAAATCCAACGGTTCAGACGTAACTCGCGTTCCACAAGACGCAAGGTATTAATTAATGTAAAAAAATCCTAAAATCAATAAATTTATACCAAATATGGAGTTATTACTTTTAAAAACCCCGAAGCTAAAAAATGGGTTGATAGAAATTTTCGTTAAATAATATAGGATGTTAAACAAAATATCTATAAAAATGTTTGAGGTTACAAGCGTAGTTTTGCAACTTATATTCCAGTTGAAACTGATGTGAACACATATAAGAAATTGTAAACAGGGAACGATTTATGTAAATAACTTAAGCAATTTTTACATTTTAATTTTAGCACACAGTAGAGGAAATGAGAAATATATGTTGCCTTCCATAATAAACGGATACCACCACGCCAGAGAAACACAAAGGAAAACTTCGTCTTCTTTCTTCGTGTAGTCGCCAAGGGTGGGCATCGTCTGGGTGATAGTTTTGTAATTAATTTCTGTTTGGGTGCTATTTGTGTAAAATTCGGATGTTAGTTTGGTAAATATTTGTAGAATGTGGCTAATTTTGTAATTAATTTATGTTAGGGTGATATTTGTGTAAAATAGTCGACTGTTGACTGTTAACCGTTGACTACAACTTTGACCGACTTTGACCGGGCATTAAACGACCTTTGACTTTAACCGAATATATATATCCTGACGTTTTTCGACTTTCCAAATCCGATTCCGCAATTCATTTTTCGAAATTCGGACTCGAAGACCTCGAAATTGCTAATCAATCCCGTTGACTTTGATTTTGACCGAAAATTCCAAATTTTTGAAAAGTCATATTTTATGCTTTCGACGTCCTGAATCCGAAGTCCGTTTTGCCAAATTCGAACTCGGTAAGTTGTTTTTGACTGATTTATCACCCGATTCGATCCGTTTTCGAAATTAAACTCAGTTTGTGATGTAATTTCTGTTGATATGCATCTGAGGAAATATTGGAAGATGATTTCAAGATCGAGGGCGTTCGAATGGAATTTTTATGGTCGATCAGTATGTCATGAAAATCGAGGTAATATTTTACTACCTCTTTATGCTTTATGGAATATGTTGATATTGGTAAATTCATGAATAAGATAATGTTGGTCACTTTTATGGAGTTGAATAATTTATACACTCGATATAAATGTGGTAGAAATTCTGTAACTGAATACGGATCGAATGACTAATATAAGAGATTGAGGAATTGTTAGAATTAAATTACAAGTTTGTGATTAGTGATAAAGAAATCAGCCATGGATTTGTAACTTATATTTTATATCATCAAAGGTTGCATGTTAAAGGTACTTGGAT